AGAGAGAGAAGTGAGCAGAGAGGGAGGGGGATGACTACCACAAGAAAGAAGAGCTATCAGTGGACCTGTAGTCCTTTGGGGCCTATAGCCCCTAAGCTGCCCTCTAGACCCAAGGGAAGGTTGATGCCAAGACACACGGAGAATTTCAAGAGCATCGAGTACACAGCTGTTGAAAGGAGGCAAGGACCTTCCTCCAGAGCTGACGGGGCTTCTGCAGGCGCTGATGCTGGGATTTCAGGCTGCTGCTCTTCTAAGTTGTGGGAGAATGCCTTTCTCTTTGTTAAAGCCATCCCCTGTGGCATTAATAATGAGTGTTAGAGCACTCAATAACACAGGACATGTGGGTAATGCCGTCAACCTTTCTGTCTATTTCCTCTCTGTGACAGCCCCTTCTACCTCCCTGGTTTAATTGGAAAGGTCTTGATTTTGTTTTTCAACTTTCAGTCTCTATCAAACACACCAGCAGGACATGTTGTAGAGTCTGCACCAGTGGGCATTACCAGTCGGGTGAGATACTGTGTAGTAATCAATCTGTATACCAGGTGTGCAATCCCCAGGGCCACCCAGAGAGCAGGGGCTCAAAACTCAAGCTCCCTGCCATCGAGTAGATTCCAACAGATCACAGCCCTTTAGGACTAATGAAACTGCCCCTGTACCTCTTTGCGGGGGAAGAAAGCCTCACATTTCCCCCACAGTCAAACTACAGGTCTCATGGTTAGCAGCCCAGCGTGTAACCACCATGTCACCAAGGATCTTTGAAGTAGGAGCAGACTATCGCTCATTGTCCCGCTGCTCTGTTGGGTTTAGAGGTAAGAGTTGCAGGGAGGCTGCCAGGGTGCTCACTATGGGAGCAGATTCGACTGTAGGGGCTTTCTGTCGAAATTCACAGCTGGCCTGCTGCAGGCTTGCAGCCGATAAATGGACTCATGGGAAAGTCTGCTTGTTGACATCAGAGTCCCTCCGGAATACGTTGCCTGTATAGATGCAGCTCCCACTAAAGATGCCTGTTTCTCAACACACAGCAGCCTCAGTCAGCAGCTGAAAGGGGGAGCAGAGAGCCCAGAACTGACTCCCTGGGGTGGCTGTGCTATTGGTTATGGAGGCATGAGCTATAGGGCACATGAAGAGAGCAGTAGAGCATTCACTACGGGGACAGACTTCACTGCACAGGTCAACTGTAGCAGTGCTCAGGAGACTTGCAAACTGTAGGGTCTAGGTGGGGAGGTGCTGCACACTTCCAACAAACCCCAGCGGAAGTCTTGCTTGCTGATTTTAGACCAGACTCTTGGGGTTCTCTTTTGGATAGGCAAGGGTTGTGGTGGTTAGGGAACAGCCTTTGTTTCTGGGTCTCCTCAACTGAAAACTCACAGTCATCGAGTCCATTAGTGAACCTATAGGCCAGGGTAGAACTACCCCTATGGGTTTCCAAGACTGCAACTCTTTACAGAGCAGAAAGCCTCATCAATCTCCCATAGAGCAGCTAGTGGTTTCAAACTGCTGGCCTTATAATAGCAGTCTAATACAAAACACTACACCACCAGAGCTCATTTCTGTGGCTAAAACCCTAGTTTACAGCAGCCGACAAACTACTAGCTAAAGGGGGGCCAGTGATGGCGGGAGACTGTGGCTCGCTGACTTGTTGGTTCTTGCCTGTCAGCTGTTTGCAGTTGCTTTCCTCCGCTCCCCAAATCAGAGCTCCTCAAGGCACAGCGCGATTTCTGTGTGTTTCTTGTTGCCTTTGTAGGGGAGGGTTGGAAGAATGATTTGTTTGTCCTGCCATCTTCCCGTATTTGTTTTGTGATTTTAGTTCATATGTCCTTCCTCACAGAATACGTGCATTTTTTGAACGAGGGTTATGTCTTGCTGACATAAAATGGATGCTTTGTAAATGTTCGTTGAATGAATGAACGTCGAAACTAATTTTGCCAAACAGCTTCCAGATTCTTAATGCACACCTGATAAGGAGTAGAGAAGAAATATATTCCTTTTGTTTTTCTTCATTAAAGATATTTTGGTGTCTGAGGCCAGTTCTAGAATGGTTAAAAAAAAATGCACCTCATTGCTTTTGTATTCCAACAGGAAATATGGGATGTATAAAATCAAAAAGGAAAGACAATCTGAATGGCGATGGAGTAGATTTGAAGACCCAACCAGTACGTAATACTGACCGAACTATTTATGTGAGAGATCCAACGTCCAATAAACAGCAAAGGCCAGTAAGTAGATAGTCACAGGAGAGCATTCCAACAGCAAGATCAAAGCGTGGCTGGCATGATCGGAAATCCAATCTGGGGCATGTGCATGCAAAAAAATCATATTGATTAACGAGGCCTCACGTAACTTTGGATCTGCTTTGTTACTTATCCCTAAAAGAACCTGAAAATATCTCAGTGACAGCGAGGCCACTTATTTTACAATACTGAGTTCTTTGGTCATCTTTTACATTGTGAAAAGCATCTTTCCTATCACGAGTGCTAAAGACCCAGGTTTTCACACACATACATATATGAAAAACCGCTTCTGTGACTGAGGAGAGGGACTGAGATAGGCCCAGTGATCTGGGAACGAAAGGAAATGTTGGATTCAGGCCAATAACTAAAATTTGTACTAATCTTTCCTGTGAAGTACCAGACAATTCCTTCTTATAATTTGCTCAGTTAATTCTAAGTAGTATAGATACTGAAGCTGTGATTATTTATTATAATGAATGAAAATATTTTTAAAAGACATTGCGCCTTAACCTTATGCAAATAGCTACATCAGAAATGTTATACGAGTCATTGGTGCACTTGAGACGTGCTTTTCAAAGAAAGAACTCATATTGTATTTCATAAGAAGAAGGAAAAGAACTTTGGATAATCACAAATTTAAATGTACTTTATTTTGGAATTTACATTCTTTTCATACAGTGTCTTAACTATGTGCATCCTCTCATAGTTCAGGTTTTTTGTGGGATTTCTCAGCCTTTAAGCTGCGCAGTGTTTACTCCAGGCTAGCCCAGATGCTTTTATTGAAAAATTTAATAGTTTATTTAGTCTGATATTCTTTAATTACTATCAAGCCTATGGTCACTCTCTTCAAACCATGTTTTACCACTGTTTTATGTCTCTCAAAACAAGCAAAAAAATGTTTTAATGTCTCTCTCACTGCCATTGAGTCAATGCCAACTCATGGCGACCCTGCAGACAGGGTAGAACTGACCCTGTGAATTTCTGAGACTCTACAGGAGTACACAGGCTCAACTTTCTACAGGCACAACTTGTCAAATATTACAAATTTCATGCCACTGCTGATGACGAATACGACAGAATTGGGCTTATGTTTTTAAAAGTCAGTACATGATGCTATTAAGTTTTTATACATAGTGGTCCTCCCTCGATTGATTAGCATTTATAATTCTATATATAGAAAATAGAGAAACTCAAAGTGCATAAGACTATTAATAGCTTCTTAGTGTTAATAAATGTGTATACATATTGAAACATAATATATATACAAATATAGAATTATATAGTACATAAACATGACTAATAAGAAGTGAAATGAATTTGAATCAAGAAAGCTTTTTGGAATTTTATCCAGACTACGTGCTATCAATTCTACTTGCTTTCAAATCCAAGTTTGTTTTTTCAATGAAGTTGTCTTTTATTCAGAAAAGCAAAGGTGAATAGGACAAAATTACAGATAAATGTTCCTTTTTTAATAAAAGGGAACATTGTGAGATCCTATGCTAGTAGGAGTAAATAAAATTACAAAGTTAGAAAGCAGAAGTAGTAAGAGTGTTTGAAATTATTCAGTTGTCTAAGATACTAACGTTAGTATATCCTCCACAGTCAGACACCCTTCACCTTGTGAGCTGCTTCTTTGGCTTTAGTCCCTGGCCATTGAGCATTCTCTGTGCTGTCAGGTGTGCTGAAATTGGATGTTGGGGGTAACAGGAAGACTGCAGAGACACCCAGGTTGAATTCATGCACATTAAGCAGCATTCAAGGAAAAGACATTTTAAAGAAAAAAGAGCAATGACACATGATTTGCATATTTGTGTTTTGCCCTTAGACTTGCTGCTACTTGTAATTTAGTTTGCTGCTTTCAAAATGATTTAGTTTCATGCTTTCTAATTATTTCCTCAAAATCACATAAAATAGATCATATATTGTGGCTACATTATTGTAAATATCAGTTCTTTTATAAGCTTCTGAAATAAGTATTGAAGGGTAGTGTGTACTCATGCATTTTCCAGATACTAGAATGTAGTCATTCTCTACCCATTCCCCAGCACACATACTGGAGATGTTATGGGCTGGTTTTCACCAGAAATGATCATTTCAGTGAAAATGATTTTGATCCTATTCCATTAAACTACTTTAATAAAAAGAAACAGAAATGTGGTCTAGTTGACAAATATATGCATCTGATACCATGCCTTTCTTAAAAGAGGTGTAATTATAGTACCTACAGAACACACAACATTGCTCTAGCTCTTTAATGCTTCCTCCCC